AACAAGTGCTTGGAGGTTTTAGAGATATTAAACCTGATGTTGTGCCATTGTAGTTTTTGACATAAATAAATAGAAATGTAGGTTCAGCGTTTATAAGTTGACATATGAAAGAGAGGAGAAGACAGCTGCTGTCTGGAGCTGCTGTACTTGACTGTGTGCCTGCAGGCTACAAACACTACAGTCTGTCTTTCTTCAACACAAATTAAACTATTCAAAGGCCACACTGACTCCCCAAGCAGAGGAGGGTCTACTCCCCCCGCCTGGTGCTCCTGCTGTACTCTCCTGTTACATAAAAGGTGTCAGATGTATGCAGCATGTATGTGTCAGGTGTGTGGGGGATTTGTGATTTCATGAGGAGAGGGGGTGGCGGCAGAAGGAATCCATGAAAACGGGCTTCCAATTAGGTGTCGCACTTTCTCTGGATGTGTGCTTGGTTCTGACACATCTGTTTCTATAAAGCAGTGAATTCAAGTGCTTTGGCTGCCATACAACGCTGTGCAAAAGTATAGGCAGGTCTAAGGAATGAGCAAAGAGATATTTTTCATCACAGGAAAAGGAAGAATTGAATGAATAAATAAGCCCACACCACTGGCACTGGTTCTGAGCCCGTACAATAGTAAGATACAGTAATAAAACATGATTTTTCATTCTTTGAGGAAAGCCAGGATCTTATGAATAAGCTGCGTATTAACTCCTCACTATTAACCTTCAGAATTTCAAAATGAACTAGTTTAACAATGCGCTATCGACTTTTACCTACTCTGCTGCAGTTTGTCATCTGCTTGTTTCCATAGAGACAGTAGCGCTTCTGCTGTAATGTTGCTCAGAATGGCATTAAGCATCACATTCTACAATTATACATCATCTCTGACAAGGAGGTGGCAAACAATCCTCCATTCATACTTTCCACACGGTTTCTTTTGCCTGAACAGAAACGGCACAGTACAGTGTAGTTTATTTCACAAAACGCAGTCAACATCAAATGACTTCAGATGACAAAAGGCAAGTGAGACAGCCTTGGGCACCGAGGGGGAAAAAAAATGTGCGCTGAAAATACAGTGTAAATGGCTCTGTGTGAATAATGGTCCAACAACTCAACTGGGACAATCAATATATTTTAGCATCACGTTTGAACAGCAATCATTTTCCCTCCTTGTGTTATTTACCATGTGTAGTCCCCAATGTGACAGGAGGTCCCCAAGGGTTACTCTGCTGTCGGGATTGCACCAACAGGATATAAAAACAACATCTACATACGTGGCACGGAGGGAGATGAAGAATAGGACCAAATAATGAGCAGTAAAAGCTGAGGTTAAGCAGTTATTACACCCTCCATATGCTCACAGAGAGATGCTCAAAAAGTAATTTATATCAAAAGGGAACAGTGATGAGAAGGCGATCGGGATGTCATTTGCCCGTGTGAATTCATGTTTACTTACAGAAGCATAAGCACAAACGTCTTATTTATTTACATATAAAAAGATACAATGCCTATTTATCTTCTTTTGTTCAGCACTTTGACTTGCCTTGTGTATGAACTGTGCTATACAAATAAACGTGCCTACCTTACCTGGCCTCTTACAAAGTTATATTTTAAAGAGAAAAAAAAAACCCTGATTTCACAGTGGTGATACCTCTGCAAATCAAATTCAACAAAGTTCCTGTAACTGCATTACCACAAGATTGTTCTGAATTTTGCTCCTTTCGCTTTTCCATAAACTCTTCCCTGTCCCTGCAGAAGAAAAGCAGCCCCACCAGGTTTGTCAGTGGGCATGGTTTGTGTTGTGTTAGGTCTTATGTTGGACGCCAAGCTTTTCAGTCTATTATTTGCATAAATAATAATAATACTAATAATAAGGTTAATAATAACTTCCTGATAGGTTCACTTTCCAATAGTAACTAAGTAATCTTTATTTATATAGCGCCTTTCACAGACCAGAGTCACAAAGCATTTTACAATTTTGAGCATTAGTCTCTGACTCCACACAGAGATGGGAGCAGGGCCAGTACAGAAGACACAGACCTATTGTACATGTTTTTAGTGGTAGGGGAAACCGGAACACCTGTAGTAAACCTACGCAGACGCGGGGAGAACATGCAAACTCCACTCAGAAAGGCCCTGTTCCGACCGGGATTTGAACCCAGGACCTTCTTGCTGAGAAGCGAGAGTGCTAACCACTCAGCCACCGTGCCGCCCGTGCCAATATAGTAACTTGTGCTGGTCTATCTAATTGCCAATGAAATCAATTCTCGTTCGTGTTTAAGACAAGATGCAGAAAACATTTTCACAGCGTGAGCAGCAATAGTTTCTTTGTCACATTTGAGGAGAAAACAGAGTAAAAGCGTGCATTTAGGAATAAACTGAAACTAAATGCAGAATTGACATGATCAACTTAAGATAATGTGGTTCTCACTGTATCTTTTATGAATAACCGCTGTGAAGAGAATGAAAGTGATTTGTCAAAAATGTTCAACATTTTGGCACAGGCAGGTGACTTCACCAGAGCGGATCAATGAATCTCTAATGACAGCTCTGACCCTGAAATAACAACAAGCTCATTGGTTTGTTTTCAATCTTATGGTTCAAATGCAATTGTGATTGTATAATAAATATATAGTGAAGTAGCATAGTATTAGCATTTTTGAAAGAGAATGTTGTTTGACATGTGAAGAGAGATTTTCCCCCAAAGCAAGCACCGGTAAGACCCGCTCATACGCACCACCGCTACTTTCTGATTAGATGTAAAACAATGTAGAATTGTCCTCCAGCAAATCTTATTGGTGGTGGTTATGCCAAGGAGAAGGACAGTACTGATGACATTGTTTTTGAAAAAGTGATACCATGGGGTCATATGGTCAAACACATGCAGTCTTTTTAACATTTATTACAATTGAAGTTACAGTTATTCTAGTAATAAGCACAGATTTTAATTGAAACTAAAAGATAAGATTTTGGAGTGAAAAATACATAAATAAATACAAATTGAACAGCTGGTTGTCCAACAGCCAGGAACAACCACTGCAATCCAAATAGTTACATAACATGATGCATAAAAGTGTTGTTGGACACATGTCTCATTTTTCATATGCAGTGATGATTTTGATGATGGCTCGATGTGAAACATGAGACTTGTTATTTCCGCCCAGCTGAGCTGATGTATTGGTTTGACCTTTGAGGACGACCAGCCACGCCATTACCTCCGCCATGATTGAGAGTCCCCACATACACAGCTTGATGAAAACCAAAATAAAAGTCTGCAGCCAGATTGTGTTTTTTCTCAGAGATGCACAATCGCAGCTATAATTTAAATACATCTGCACGCTGCATCCTCCCAACATGCCTCTCTTTCTGACAACAAAACATCAATGCAAACACGCTTATGTCTGCAGCACTGCTCTCAAAGTTTAGCCTTGAGCAGCCATTTGACAAAAACAATCTGAAAGTCTGCCCCTCTCTGAGCGGACATGAGTGAAGTGTGAAAACACAAGCATGTTTAAAGTCAACACCTCCCATAGTTAAATATAGTGCCCTTTCTGTGAGCTTCAAATATGAGCTGGTGTGTTCCAATATGATCAGCAAATAGATTGAGAAAATGAGAAGTGATTCATCATTGCAGAAAAAAGTGTAACTGGAGGTGGCAAGTAAAAGCACAGAGATGCATATTCCTGAAGACAGATATTATGGAATTCACATCAAACTTAAACATTACTGTTCGGCAGATTAAAAGATTGTTTTCATCCATTGTGTACAACAGGAACAGAAATGGAAACAAATACGATCAACCTCAAATTGTAAATAATGTAACTCGTGTATTTATACTTGATTTACTTTAGTGCCTATTATTTATTTAAGACCAAAATATACTGGACATCACAGTGATTTGCGTAAAGATAGTCAATACACCAAGCAGGTAAATGGTCATTATGACACGCCTGATTGGCTAACGGGTCAACAGTGACTACATGACCCATCACTCTGCTCTGTGCAGTTTATTGTCTTATTGATCATGACTGAAGTCAGAAGCAGCGTGAAACAGCACTATGTACATTTTATCCGTGGCTTATGGTCTTGGGACAGTAAGGGATGTAAGAGATAAAGACTACAGAGGACAAAGTATTGATTTTCACATAAGATCAATGCATTAGAGCGCGGAGCACATTCAGCTGTGTTCAAGTGTGTGTTGAAGTCTTTAGCACCAGAACGACATAATGAGAAGCTAGATGTGAAAAGTACTTTTTAACAGCACAGGTAGATGAGTGCTGAGATGCTTTTAACTCATTCCTTTATTAAACAAATTAAAACAACCAATGCAAACCTTTAACTTTACTTACACTGGGTAGAGCAGAATGGTAAATGTTGTTTTTATTGAGTGTTTTTTAATGGAAAGCATTAAAACTATTGTCAGCTTGTAAGAACCTTGTGAGACACATGCTCTGGGTTAACTTTTCTTTATGAACATCTTGCTTTAAAGTTCAGGTAGAGTTCTACAAAGGGTTAAAAAGCTTGTGAGAGCAAGATACTAGTTTGACAGTTTTATGAAGTCCTACTTCTGTAGTAGCCCAGCTCATTACAAACATGAGCAGAGTGAATCTTGCAGCCCTTTATAGCGGAGGTTTCTCTCATTGGAAACAATAAGCAGACTATTTCAATAATGATTAGTAGAAGAAGAATAAGTGCACATGTTCAAAAGGGTTATGTAGTATAATCAAACTTAGGATATTTACACAACATGACCACTGGACCAGTTCGGTTCATCTTCATCTACTATTGTAACAATTTGAAAGAAAGTCAGAAACAATTATTTTGGGCAAGGTTGTTCTTTATGTAACATGAAATTATTTTAATTTTTAGCATGTTATCCTATCCTCAGGTCAGTTTTAAAACTGCAATAAAACTGATAAAATCATAAAATGCCCATTAGTCACCCAATCTTTCTCTGGTCCGACAAGAAACTGTGTCGTAGGAGAAACATAATAATTGTATGTAATTATTGCAGTATTCACTCTCTCACATGATTTTCAAAGTGGATGCGCCCGGCCCCCTGAGGGTGAAAGTACTCACGGTCGTTGCAGAAGGGCCCTCCGTAGGTGGTCATGGTGCAGTCACAGGAGAAGCCCTCCCACAGCTGCAGACACACCCCTGAGTGTTGGCACGAGTCCTCTGTGCAGGTCGTGCTGGGACCTGGGGCCATCAGAACTACTGTTACCGTTATGCTCCTGATTTTTCACAGCACAAACTGTGTAGCATTTATCAACTTGAGTTTAGTCTCTTAATAAATGTGCAGTAATTAGTAGTCATTAGGGGCTTTCAACATGAGAGTTCACCTCCACAGCCGCGCTCCACCTCGCCCACTTTGTGAAGGGCGTCCGCCAGAAGGTCAGGCAGCCGGCCGTTCAGATCCACCGACGCCAAACAGCCCTTGTACCCCTCTCGAGATGCAATCAACCTGGGCAGGCTGCTGTACATGCTCTTACCCACGCCACCAATGTACAGCTCACCTGTGGAAAACACACATACGTTTTCTAACAGTCAATGGTATCCATTATATGATATCACTATAGTTTTACTGTACTCTATACTAAAGTAATTTATTTTTCAGGAATGTTCTACATGCAGCCTTCATAAGACAAAAAAGACAAACTTGAATAAAATGTTTAACAGTGGTCTAATGGTACATTGAGAAAACAACGATGTGCCGGTATTCTATTGTCGAACAGTACAGGTTTACATCTTACACCTGCAAGGCTCTTGCTTACTCTGCTCATAACATGGTTCCTAAGCAACCGCTGGCAAGAAAAACAATGAGGCCACAATACATAATTTGAGCTTTTATTTGCCCAAAATTCACACAACAAACACACAACAAACACACAAACACACGCACACACACACACACAGGAAAGAAGAAGGGACAGTGACACACACTTTCTTTTGCTCGTCACATTATCAAAGTCACTTAATCCATTTCTGGGCTTCTTGAGCTCAATTACCAAATGCTGCTTGTTGCTATAGTGATGGTTTGAGTGGCAAAATTTAGAACCCGTCTACCTGCCAGATTACATGTGCGGTTACACACAAATAATGCATGGCAGTTTACATTAGAATTTTCAAGGACCATAATATGAAAAAGTGTTTTGAGCTTACTCCTTAAAACTACTATTAAAACTTAAATAATATACAGTTCAAACAATATGTATTTTATTTGTTTTTATTGTGCAAGATCTTTATTCCAACTTCTGAAATGTTGTTCACTTGATGTGTGTTTATATAGATGTAAGTAAGAATATCCATATTAAACTAAATCTTTCTTCATGAATAATTGTGTGACATTCTAACAGCTGGTTCTTTGCTTTGTGGGCTATTAGTCACTTCACAGCGTTGCTTATGAATGCACAGAACTTTTACTGAATTGATGAAGGTTCACAAGAAACTTTCCTAACTAGATCCTTGCTCTCAAAGCTGTTTTTGTCTATCTCTAGTTTTTAAATGAATGTATTTTTGGCCTCCGTTACATTTTCAGTCAATCTTGGTCAATTTTTCAGAGAGAAATGTGAAAAAGAGAGGACCGCTCTCACTCAGCCAATCAGTTCTACGTCATGGTGCTACGTCCCTTAGGACTTCGCTAGTGGGATATCACTCGTGACCCCCAGGTCACACGCCAGAGAGATCAAAATAATTTGCTCCAATCACCAGCCACCTTCCTCTATAAATGCCCCTGCACAAGGCCGCACCCCCTCTTTCACTCTGGCCCCGTTCGAGATCTACCACAGTACTTACTTCATTCTGAGATGTCTTCCTTGTTCGTCCGAGTTCCCTTCGCCCTCCGGCGTCGGACGTCGTCACTGGATCCAGACGGTGGAGGACTTCACCTCTGTGGGCGCCACCACTCGAGGGAGGAGGAGGATAAAACCCACGTTGTGCCCGCGGATGGACCCGTTCGTCCATTACGCGACACGTGAGTGGCCTAAGCCCCTAGCAGCCAAGAGGCCTGCTCTGGGGTACGACATATACTGCAGCGGGCAGGACTGGTCCTGGACCGGTGATCGAGGATTCAGTCCGCATGGCCCTGCAGCCCTCCGCATCCGTGGGGCCCGGCACCAGACCTCTCCTTCCCTCCGAGCGGGACAGGATGTCTTGCCGAGGCTGGATAGATATTATGCCAATGCGGCACAGGTCGTCACATTGGCTATCAACATGACTTTCATCACGGGGGCCCTGGATAGGTCGCTCTCCTCTGGCCAGGCGCTCAGTGGAGACCTCCTGTCACAGGCGAGGACCACCTCGGCGGCGTTCCTGCGCATGTGCCAGACGCTAGCCGTGGATGGTGGCCAGGACACCGAGGATTCAGTCCGCATGGCCCTGCAGCCCTCCGCATTCGTGTGGCCCGGCACCAGACCTCTCCTTCCCTCCGAGCGAGACAGGATGTCTTGGCGATGCCGGATAGATGTTATGCCATTGCAGCACAGGTCCTCGCATTGACTAACTACATGGCATTCATCACGGGGGCCCTGGATATGTTGCTCTCTTCTGGACAGGCGGAGGAGACCTCCTGTCACAGGCGAGGACCACCTCGGCGGCGACTCTGCGCATGTGCCAGACGCTAGCTGTGGATGGTGGCCGCTCCATGGCAGCAGCCCAAGTCGGGCCAGGCACCTTTGGCTTGGGCTGGCTAATATCAGGGAGGCAGAGAGGAGGCAGCTGCTGGACCTGCCCACCTCTCAGATGTCCCTCTTTGGCCCGGACATGCAGGCCTGGGTGGCGAGACTGGAGTCTGCAGCTAAAGACTCGGCTAGGCTAGCCCCGCACCTAGCACCGAGGCGCGAGGCCCACCAGCCATTACGGAGCCGGGACAGAGGCAGAGAGCGTTGGCCCGGGAGGCATCCTGACCCGTATCCGCGCTCTGTTATCCATCGTCCCCCCTTGACGAGGCCCCCGGGTCCAGACAGACCCATGGGTGGCTCGCGGGAGCAACGCACCCACCACCGACCTCCCTATGGTAGAGGCCGGGGTGGAAAAATTTTTCCTTCAATAAAGGCCGACCGGCATTTCCATTACTTTTCTGAGTCTGATTTGGGGGTATGTAACATGTCAAATATTGTGAATTCTGATTGTGTTACTTCCCGGGCCCATAACGTTGCTTCGCTAGGCCTGCAGCCCCAGAGAGGGGCGTGCAGTGCACTACGCGAACTACGAGCTCCGGTTTCTCTGATCCATACTATGCCCTCCCAGAGAGAGGTCAGGCGGAGGGATCTGGTGAGTGATATGTGTGTGCTTCGGCCGAACGCGTGTTAGCATTTCTGAGCTACAGGGCTAACACAGGGTTTCCCACTCCAGGGGCTCGCCCCCCCCTCCATGAGGCAAGAGCCAGGGGGGCACAGCAGCCGAGTCACGTGTGGTGAGCAGAGCTACAAGGCTGACACGGGGTTTCCCACTCCAGGGGCTCGCCCCCCCCTCCATGAGGCAAGAGCCAGGGGGGGGCACAGCAGCCGAGTCACGTGGGATGAGCAGTCCCGTACTTATGACGTCGGGCCTGCAGGACACGTGACCGCCCCCGGCGCTCACGGTGTGACGCAGGGTGCCCCCCCGGCCCTTTCGTCCACCCCCCCTCCCTGCTAGGAACACCAGGAGAGGGCGGGGCCGTGACGTCTCGTGTTCCAGCTCCCGTTCCGCTCCTCACAGACTTCTACAGCATCTGGAGGGAGCAAAGATGGCTGACATATCTATGGCGGGAGAGAACATTGCGCAGGGGTTACGCACTGCAATTCTCCCAGAAGCCACCACCATTCCGAGGCGTACGGGCAGCACGCTCTCAGGTACGGGGTCATTAGAGGCACTGCAAGCGGAGGTCTCCTCTCTGCTGAGTCTAGGCGCAGCAGTGGAGGTAGACCCGCAGAAGGCCACCAGGGGGCTGTACTCCCCTTACTTCTTAGTGCCAAGAAGTCAGGCGGGGTGCGTCCCATTTTGGATCTGCGCGTGTTGAACGAGTGCATTTCCAAACGGCAGTTTCGGATGCTGCCCACAAAGCAGCTCCTACAGTGTGTCAGGCAGGGAGATTGGATATCCTCCATAGACCTGACAGATGCGTACTTCCACGTGCCGATAGTACCGGAACACAGGAGGTTCTGCGCTTCGCAGTGGGAGAGAGGAATTACGAGTACTGTCGTTTTCCCCTTGGGCTACGCACTCGCGCCGTGGAGCAGGGGTAAGAATTAATCTACATAGACGTCGGGTTAATTCTGGCCTCATCCAGGGAAGTGGCCGTGAGTCATACGCACTGGGTCCTGTCCCACATACAGCGCCTGGGCTTTGTGGTTAACAGGGAGAAAATTAACAGTTACCTTTGTAACTTAAGTTCTACGAATAGGTGCACGTGATATCCCACTAGCGAAGTCCGCTAGGGGACGTAGCACCATGACGTAGAAGCAGGCTGCAACCGGCTCAGCGCATGATCTATCTCGGTCTGCAGCTAGACTCTGACATTCCGTGCTGCATGGTCCGTGGACAGACGGATGAACACTACCCGTCTGCCCGGGGAGGTTCTGGCGGGCCCCAGAGTCCCCGCTCGGCGCCTCAGGTCCCTGCTGGGAATGATGGCGGCGGCTCATGCTGTGGTGCGGCTAGGCCTTCTCCACATGAGGAATTTTCAGAGGTGGTTCTCACGCCTCAGGCTTCACCCCTCCCGGGACGGGGGGAGGCTGATCTGGGTTCCCAAAGTGGCAGCATCGAACATCAGGTTCTGGCTCACTCCGGGTCTTCTACGGGACGGAGTGACTCTGGCCGGCGCCGTGTCTCACGTGGAGATGTTCACGGACGCGTCGCTCGAAGGATGGGGCGGGGTCCTCGGCCAAAGTTCTGTAGGAGGCTGCTGGTCGGACTCAGCCCATCACATCAACCTGCTGGAGATGGAGGCAGTACACAGGGTACTGCTGCACTTTGCTCCTCAGCTGCAGGGGAGACACGTGATGGTGCGCTCAGACAACACCACAGTGGTCTCCTATCTGAACAGGCAGGGGGGCACCAGGTCCCCCGCTCTCCATCGCATGGCAAAGGTGACGCTGCTGTGGGCGGCGCTTCACCTCCTGTCTCTCAGGGCGCGCCACGTCCCGGGGGTCCGGAACGTGGGGGCCGACAGGATGTCCAGGGGGGGGGGGGGCCCACTCCAGGACGAGTGGGGCCTGGCCCCAGGGGTGGCTGCGGAGATCTGGCGGAGGTTCGGCCGTCCAGTGGTCGACCTTTTTTCGCCAGTGCAGGAAACGCACAGTGCCCGTCCTGGTTCGCCTCAAGGGCCGCGGACCAGCCGCCTTTAGACGTGGACGCTCTGGCTCATTACCCCTGGCCAGGGGGCCTGCTGTACGCGTTCCCCACCAGTGCGTCTCCTGCCGGTCCTGCTGCGGAGGATTGAACAGGAGAGGAGGTCGGTGATCCTGGTGGCGCCGGACAGTCCGCATGCTCGGTGGTTCCCCTTCCTGAGGGGCATGGCGGTGATGGAGCCCTGGGCCCTCCCGGACGAGCCGGGGGCTCTAGTCCAGGGGGGGAGGAGCCCTGTTTTCACGCCCGATAATCGGCCGCAGGCTCTGGGTTGGAGGCTGAGAGGCGGAACCTCGTAGACCTGGGTCTTCCCCCTGCGGTGGTGGAGACCACTCAGGGGGCGAGGGCGCCGTCCACTGTGAGGGCCTACGCCACGAGGTGGAGGCTCTTTAGCGACTGGTGCGGTTTTCGTTCCTGGGATCCCAGGCGTTGCCCGCTGGAGGGGGTCCTGGGATTCCTACGGGAGCTCTTTGACAAGGGGAGGGCTGTCGCCACCTTGGCGGTGTTCGCGGCAGCCATTACTTCGGGTCACAACGGATTCGGGGGGTTCACAGCCCGCTCTCATCCGTTGGTTAAACGTTTTCTGCGGGGGGCACGCAGGAGGAGGCCCCCGCTCCAGAGAACGCCCCGGTTTGGGACCTCAGGGTGGTCCTTAGGGGGCTGTCGGGTCCGCCTTTTGAACCGGCGGCGGAGGCGAGTCCCGAGTGTGTCGCTTTAAGACGGCCCTCTTGTTGGCGTTGGCGTTGGCGTCTGCTAAGAGGGCGGGCGACTTGTGTGCGCTCTCTGTCCATGCGTCTTGCCTGTCCTTGGAGAGGGCGACGGCATGGTGGTATTGTGCCCCAATCCGGCTTTTCTCCCCAAGGTCATCACGTCGGCCTTTAGGTCGAGAGTCATCAGGATTAGGGCTTTCTATCCGCCACCGCATGCCTCCCCCGAGGAGGAGCGGCGGCACCTTCTGTGTCCTGTCAGAATGCTGAGGCATTACCTGGCCATGACGTCGTCATTCAGGTTGGGTGGCCAGCTGTTGTGTGTCTGGGCCCCAAGAACAGGGGCGCCCCGCTGTCGGCTCAGCGGCTGGCGCACTGGGTTGCCACGGCTGTGCGGCGGGCGTATCAGACGCAGGGTCTGGCCCTCCCGGTGGGCTTCAGGTCGCATTCCACGCGTGGGATGGCGGCCTCTACGGCCCTTCTCAGGGGGGTGTCGGTCGAGGACGTATGCCGTGCGGCTTCTTGGGCTTCGTCCTCCTCTTTCGTCCGGTCTTATCTTTTGGATGTGTCGGACCGGTCGGTGGCCCATTCCGTGCTGAGTGCAGCGGACTGAGTTAGACCGTTAGGTCCCTCCTCTGAGGGGGCCTTCGGTTTACTTTCCGCCCTGGTTCAGGAGCTCTTGGGAGAGGCATCCTACAGGTGCGGTACATATATGTGTGTTTTGGTCGGTCTGGTAGTCCACGTCAGGAGCCCTTGGGAGAGGCGTCCTGTGACTACGGATGACCTATATCTGTGTTACGTGGGGGTATCCTTGGTAGGAGTGGCCCTGTAACACGCATTGTTTCTTCTGCCCTGAGTCCTCTCACTTTGTGAGGGTCTTGCTCGGGCGGAGCTCCAATCACCCTTCGCTGGCCTGTTGGGAGTACATTTTCCTACGGCCTCCGCGTTGTGTCCCACTAGCGAAGTCCTAAGGGACGTAGCACCATGACGTAGAATTAATAGTTACTTAATGTAACTTAAGTTCTACGAATAGGTGCGTAGTCCCTTAGCTACGAGCCCATCAGGCCAGCCCGGCTTGGCAGAGTTCAAGAGGGGGTGCGGCCTTGTGCAGGGGCATTTATAGAGGAAGGTGGCTGGTGATTGGAGCAAATTATTTTGATCTCTCTGGCGTGTGACCTGGGGGTCACGAGTGATATCCCACTAGCGAAGTCCTAAGGGACTACGCACCTATTCGTAGAACTTAAGTTACATTAAGTAACTATTAAATCTCAGACTTAAGTATCAAATTGTGATTCACAGGGCAACAAATAGCATATTTTGTAATACAATAAATACAATAAATGTTGTGGTCTATTCTTTTCACAAAATGTACACAATTCCTTTTGTTGGAACAAACAGTATGAATAATATAAGTGTAAGTAAAGTTCCCAGATTTAATGTAGATACTAATAAAAAAAGTTGTATTACTTATTGTTCTTTATGGGGGCATTTAAGTTTGGCTTATTAGTCTGTTTCACATCTAGAGTGACACATTTATTAGCCATCACCACCAATCCTTAATATAAACTATTGATGACTAATGATACATTATTTACATGCACTAGCATCCGGTCCAGCCCTTACCTTTTAAATCCAGGTTGCGGGCTCCATTGGCATGCTGGGTGACGGTGCGCGAGTCTATTTTGAGAATGTGCACATTGTTGCCGTCTCGGGAGATCACCACATTGTGCCACTGGTTGTCATTGAGAGGCTTGTCAGAGTTCCCCTTCATTAGGGAAGGTCCATTCCCCAAGTCGAAAACATAGTGAATATAGCTGTAAAAGTATTACAGAATTCAGTAAAGGAAAAAAATCAGAAATCATTTTCCTACTGAATAGAAAACGTGTAGAGGATATCATGTATGTGCTTTGTGATGAGTAATAAGTTGAATGCAGTTTTTAGTCAAGACAGAAAAAGCAATTTTATTTTGAAGGATTGTTGTCAGAGAGGTACTAAACCCATTTTCTGTTATACATTATTAAATAATCCCGGTTATTTAAAGATTCTGTGTGATTACTAATTGACATGTATTGTAATGTTGGTGGGGCCTTTCTTTGATATGAGCATCACACTGAGAATCTAAAGTTTGTCTGTAATTCATTTGTTCAAATCAATGTTGCGCGACATCCGTGACAAAGTGTCTTGCCTTCACGTGGCAGTGCGTCTGATCAGAGGGTCTGACAAAGGGACACACAGCTGCTTTAGGCAGTGGCAGGCCTCCTACTGACTGATTGCTCACTCAGAAAGGTCTGCAAAAGCCTTGGCGCAGGGAAATGACTCTTGTTGCTTCCTCTCCATCATTATTTACAGGTGCTCTCTGTGATTCTCTTTGCAGCAAACACAATGCGAACTGAATAAAACATCTGACAGATATTTGTGAAGAGTCACGCTGCCAAAGTGCTGTCACGCAGGTGACTGTGGAGAAGGATGCTGGCTTTGGGCAGCGCTCATCTGCTGCTCCCAATCCTTTAACACAATTATTTATGATGAACAAATGATTGTGAATCTCCTTGTGTCTGTCTGTGCTGCTGCAGGCTCACTAACTGAACACATGAATCATGATTAGACAATTTCAGGGAAGGAATATAAATGTTTGGATCCAGATGCCTCCTGTTTGCAAATACAAATGCTCTTTTAATGAAACTAAATATGGGATTAACATTTCAGTGCACATTTTTTCATACGGCTCTGCAGCTGTCTGCTTGTGGCTGAGTATGTGTGTAAAGATCTATGATGTGTCTCACCCTTTGACTAGCTCCACCACAATGAAGTCGCTGCCATCTCCAGAGTTGTACAGGACGAGGCCATCAGGACTAGTGGTTTTGAACTGAAAGAACAGGTGCATGGATGCATAGGCCTGTAAAGTGGAAAAGGCCAGGTAACTGGCTTGAGTGAGAAAAGTGACTGGGTTGGCCACAATGTGCCTCATTCCAAAGCGCGCGTTAAGTTCACAGTAGGAAATGTCTCCGTTCTTGCACTGATCCAAATACTGCATGCCGTTGAAGGAAAGCGCTTGCAGGTGGCCGATGAAGTTGGACGGCATGACGGAGATGAAGCGCCTCTCGGTCATGATGCCTGTCTCTATGTTGTTAAACTCCAGACGAGTGTGGGCGCCAGTCATGAGACCTAACAGCACAAGCCAAGATAAGCAGCGTATCTTAGTAGAATTTTCTTCAATATTGTTTCTTCATTTACAATACCTTCCACAGTCACATTATCCACAGACAGCTGTAGATTCTTCCCTCGTCGCACCACCTTCACTGTGTGCCACTCATTGTCATTGAGCTTCTCTCCAACCAGCAGAATCTCCGGTCCCTTACCTGGGAGCAGAACGCACCCAGTGATAATCACAGCTGATCAGCAGAACAGCCTCTGTCAATGGAGCCCTCCACACGAAAGCTCTAATCAGCACATGCATTCATCCTTACACCCTGCAGTGCCAGAGTCTTCAGCGTCAGCCTAAATTACCAATCCACATCATACACCACATTTAAAATCCACACTAAATATCACTTAGTTCAGAGTATGAATTACAATAATTATAATCTTCTGCTATTTCTAATTGAAATATAACTCTCACATGTAGCTGATAGACAAAAAGAGCCTCCCCATTCAGGCGATCGTACTTTCACATTTTGGGATTCCAGCCGCATCCTTATGGCTTACCATTGGCTCAAAATAGGTCACAGTGCAGAAGCTTGCCACTGCAGCGGCGTCATCCTAAATCAGTGTGTATGCAACAGGCCGACACAGTGGTTCAAAGGAGTTCTGACATCGCTTGGGAAACTAATTGGCCATGCCTAAGCTGACTGTGCCTTCAGGGGTTTGTCTGTCTAATTGAGCTCAGGGTGCCGCAGAATTACCGGGGACGTACAGAGGGCAATAAAAAGAAAACATCTACTGGTTTCCTAACACTTCACTGTTTCATCCTTGGGGAAATAAGAGTGCGACAGGAGAGTTGGGCTGGGGCTGCATATCAAGTATCTATGGAGCACACCGCATGATACCTGCTGGATATCGACCGGGCACAGCAGACGGATCAATCACCTCAAATCCAGCCCTCTCTATATTTGAGGGATTTAGTGAGATAATGAAGCGGTAGACAAAACACAGGTGCTCACTGGAGCCCTGTCCAACACAAAAACTGAAATGTTTGCCTTGTAAATCTCTATCGCAGACACAAGATTCCTTATAATAAAAGAGGAGATAGTGCTGTGCCAGGGAGCAGGCTATTCATCTTATCGGTGTGGTTCAGAAGGGGACTTCCTCTATCTAATGTCAATGTGCACACAAACAGAAAACCAAGTGAAATATCAGCCTGGAGTTGTGAACGCTGAGTTGTCTTGTCACCAGGAATTGGTCCTACAATACACATTTCACCTTGGAGAGACCCATGAGGAAAACGCATTAGACTTATTAGATTTAAGCATGTTTATTGATTGAGCATGTTTGGCGCCCTAGGCCCGGGCGGGATGCTGTTGAGCACGGCGCTTGCTCGCGTGCATGATCCCCCCGGGGCCTAGGCACTGGTGACGGCAGAGGCAGTAGGCAACACGCTTCATGCGAGAAGGAGGAGGTGGGGCGGCGGCGGCTTGCAGACTTCAGAAGATCGGGAAGTGGGCGTCTCCGGCTTTTAACTTGCTGTCCTGGTGGTTATTGGTTGACTGGGTGTGGGCGTTGCTGGTATTGATGAGTCGAGGAATAGCAGCCTGTGGCCTGGCAGCAACAGCCGGGTCTACCACGGTGAACTTTCGCGAAAGATCCATTTCACCTTGGAGAGACCCATGAGGAAAACGCATTAGACTTATTAGATTTAAGCATGTTTATTGATTGAGCATGTTTGGCGCCCTAGGCCCGGGCGGGATGCTGTTGAGCACGGCGCTTGCTCGCGTGCATGATCCCCAAAAAGCGGGCTTGCGATTGGGATAGCAGGACGTACTGCGCGGGCCTGAGAGCATGAGCGAGCTGAGAACATGCGCATGTTCAGCCAGCCGCTGTAGCAGAGGAATCTTTGAGCGAACTGAGAACATGCGCGCACGCGCATGTTCAGCCAGCCGCAGCAGAGGAATCTTTGAGCGAACTGAGAGCATGCGCGCACGCGCATGCTCAGCCAGCCGCAGCAGAGGAATCTTTGAGCGAACTGAGAACATGCGCGCACGCGCATGTTCAGCCAGCCGCAGCAGAGGAATCTTTGAGCGAACTGAGAGCATGCGCGCACGCGCATGCTCAGCCAGCCGCAGCAGAGGAATCTTTGAGCGAACTGAGAACATGCGCGCACGCGCATGTTCAGCCAGCCGCAGCAGAGGAATCTTTGAGCGAACTGAGAATATGAGCGCACGCTCATATTCAGCCAGACGCTGAAGCAAGGAATCTTTGAGCGTTTGAGGAAAGTGCGTGCCGCCACCAGAATCTTATTGCTTACTTGCTTTGCTGGGAGCTTACGAGGAAGCCGGTAGACGTTGTGCTGCCATGATAGCGGTCGCATCTGGCCTGATGTAGGTGGAGAAGCCGAAGAGGACCAGCGCCCCAGCCGTTGCAGAGGAAGAGTGGGGGAGCCCCAGCGAGGTCGCGCGCGTGGCAGCGCCTATCCTGAAGGAGTGGGCTGTATAGAGCTGGGGAGACAAATTGCAGAGGAGCAGTAGGGATCTTAGCTGAGCTCTGAACCAGGTTGCTGTTATGGGAAGGTTGACTGGAGTGAGAATTAGAGGTCCGTTAAAATCTCCTTTTTGCCGCGGAGGCGAGTGTAACGCATCATGGACCTGTAGGGGCAGAGAGATGTGTCGAAGCGAGCTATTATTGTGTTGCAGGCGCCTCTGATCTTTGAATGTTTGAGATGAAGGTTGAATGGTCAGGGGACATTATGTTGGGTGAGAAGAGCGACCTTTGTTTAATGCTTCCACTACGTCGAGATGATCACGCATGACAGAGATCCTCTTTCTCTGCCACGTGTGATTCCGCAGCGCGCAGGCCACGACCACTGGGAATGTCTCGTGTAGGGCAGAGGAAATGCTCCGGGGAAAGTAGCGGGCCACGGCCGGCGAACCACTGGTCCTGGAAGAATCCCCCAAAAACCCACGGAAGGGGCAGCGTCCGTGTAGAAGCGGAGACCTGTAGGGGCAGAGAGACACACCGGAGAGGGCCATTGATGTTGCAGGCGCCTTTACGCTTAGAATCTTGGGTTGGAGAGTAGATAATTAGGCCAGTAGGATAGGACGGGAAGCCGTGTCTCGGACCGCATTGAAGGTTGAGTGAGCAGTGGTGAAACGCTTATGCAGAGAAGCCACAGAAGGCGAGCAGAAGATGCTGCGAGGAGGGCAGACATGTACTTGGAAAATGAGCCGGAGTTCAGCGCCGCTGCAGGATGGGCAGCATGATGGGGAGCCTGTGATCAGAAGAGTGAAGAACCAGGTATGGATGCCTTTGATTAGGAGTCCGATTGACGGCTCAGCGCAGCTACTTGGCCAGCTGCATCTGATAGAATCAGGAGATTCAGTAGAAAGATGAAGCACGACCGCCGAAGCGACCCTGGGAGCATAGGTGCGAGTCCGGCGCAGCGCGGCATAACTCAGCCGGGCTGCATCCATTAGAAGCAGGATAAGCTTCTGAGAGAATGGGTTGCAGTAGCAGTAGCAGCAGCGGCAGCAGCAGTAGCCTCAGATAATAACAGCAAAGTCCTGTATCAAGCCGCGGCAGCAGCAGTAGCAGCGTCCTTAGAAAATAACAGTAATAATTCTGTATCAAAGCCACAGCAGTAGAATGTTGTTGTAGCTGTTCAGGGTTTCAGTAAAAGAGATGCGAAGTGAAGAGAGATGGCAAAGTAAATGAAGCAGCAGCAGTAGCCGTATGAAGCAGCAGCAGTAGCAGTATGAAGCAGCAGCAGCAGTAGCAGTGTGAAGCAGCAGCAGCTGCAGCATCCGTCGATAATAGCAGCAATAATCCTGTATCAAAGCCAGAGCAGTAGAATATTGTTGTAGCCGTTTAGTGTTTCAGTAAAAGAGATGCGAAGTGAAGAGGGATGTCAAAGTACATGAAGCAGCAGCAGCAGCGCAGCAGTAGCAGCAGCAGTAACGGTAGCAGTATGAAGCAGCAGAAGCAGCATTAGCAGTAGCAGCAGTAGCAGTATGAAGCAGCAGCGGTTGCAGCATCCGTAGATAATAACAGCCATAATCCTGTATCAAAGCCAGAGCAGTAGAATATTGTTGTAGCTGTTTAGTGTTTCAGTAAAAGAGATGCGAAGTGAAGAGAGATGTCAAGTACATGAAGCAGCAGCAGCACGGCAGCAGATGCAGTATGAAGCAGCAGCGGCAGCAGTAACGGTAGCAGCATGAAGCAGCAGCAGCAGCAGCGGTTGCAGCATCCGTAGATAATAACAGCAATAATCCTGTATCAAGCCACCGCAGTAGAATATAGTTGAAGCTGTTTAGTGTTTCAGTAAAAGAGATGCGCAGTGAAGAGAGGTGTCAAAGTAAAGAAGCAGCAGCAGCACGGCAGCAGATGCAGTATGAAGCAGCAGCGGCAGCAATAGCAGCAGTAGCGGCAGCAGAAGCAGCAAGCAGCAGCAGCACAATGCAATTCATACGAACAACAGACGTGTCACGCCAGCGTGCGCCGCTTGTCTCCGTGAGCCAGGTTACGTACGTGTCTGAAGAGCCGAGCCGTAGAGATAGGTGCAGCCTGGGAGCCTGCGGAGCGGCAGCGGCAGGAACAGCAGCAGCGGCACATGTAGTAGTAGGAGCAGCAGGAGCAGGCAGCAGGGACAGGCAGCAGCAGGAATAGGCAGCAGCGGGATCAGGCATCAGTAGGAACGGCAGCAGGGACCGCAGCAGCGGCGGTCAGAGAACCATGCCCACGGTTGTTTAAGAGCCTGAGGAAATAAATCAACCCGAATCCGAAACATTCCCATGCGAGAAACAGATGTCCCCTGGAGCCATCTTGCTGCTTTGGTTATGGCAGATACGCATGAACGATCACTGATCCATGCGTTCATAGCTACAGCTCCACTTCAAACCCATTGCATATTCACATTGGGCCCCTTTTCTTTCTGCTGCACTTTCGAAATGCAACAACTGCAGTTTAGTTACCCAGTTTAATACTAGTGACCTAGCTATTTAAATGCATGGCCCCTCCTTCCTCCTGCAGATAGACGAATTTAAATACATAATTTAACAATAGTGACTTGCGAGTAATGAGATTGATGCTGTAAAGATGGCGCCGTGCAAGAGCTCTGTGTGTGCCGTCTGGAGCACGATGGGGTAGTCTTTGCACGTTTTTTCCAACGTGGTTTTACTGCAAGTGGCAGAACATGAATCTGAATTAATGC